GAGCCAGGGTGAAAACTCAAGGCCTACAGTCTGAATTCTAACTCCAAACTGTTGATATACTAGGGTAACCTCTAAAAAAAATTCTGTGGAAAAATATGCACACCTCCAGCTGATAATTGTCTACACAAATAGTGAAAGATGAGATGGTGCTTATAAGTCAGTTACAAGACAAAGATGAACAAATATTTTTTTTTAAGTTCTGATACAAAATATCTCAATTGTATTTGTTCAAGGAGAACCTATGGCATGAGTTACATATTACTGGTGGAATACTTGTGAATGGTAGTCAAAGGTTGTTCATATCAGTTAGGGAGCTCTAACAGATGGAATCTATATAAGTCATGGGGACAAATTATGGATGTTACAGCCATGGCAGTGGTGTCTGTTTTGTGTTCTGTACATTCTGTAGGTGTGATTTTTTTATGGCTCTAGCAGTGCTAGTTCTTAAGCTACAGCTTCCAGCATTTGCCTAAACTTAAAACTTAGAGAAGACAAAGAGAAAAGGAATTTAATTCATCCTAGAAATGTTGAAAGTACATTATTTCTTGTATATTAGATTATTAAGTACTTTTGAGAAATTTAATCCTTTGACACTGGGAACATGCACTATCTACTTCTCTTCCTTTCCTTCCTTTTCCTTTTTCTACACAAATTGTTCCAAGTACTTTGTCACTAAGGAATCAGTTAATAAGTTTAATTGACATCATATATAGGCCTATATACACCTTCTATTCTTAAATTTCAAAAGAAAAAAAGGATTGCTGTTATTATTCTTGTTAACATTATTTTTACTATCGGTATGATTATTTATAATAAGATTAATGTTAATAATTGTACAAATAAAAAGTTTTTTCTTAGAAATTCAAAGAATGGTGTGAATAAGCAGGTCAGGTAAGCTTAGTCATTGACTCCTTGGTGACTAAGTACTCCTAGAGCATTTGCGTAAAAAAAGAGTTGAGAAGACAAAACCAGTTATGAGTCTAAAGTTGTACCCATATCCATCGTGAGTAAGAACCTCACATGATGGCAGAATGATGTGATTCTAAGCCCTCTCTGACTTTTTTTCTCAGGTAAAGTAGAAATTATTGTGTGTAGAAATGTGCATCTGTTTTTCTTTTTCTTAGGCATTATCACCATGCAAAGCATCTCATAACAGTTGGCTTTTATTTATTATTTAATGTGACACAGAAATTGCATGGTAACTATAAGCATTTGATTTTGAGGGAGAAATATAGGAAGTGTACAGTTTCACTTTTAAAACTGGAAGTTATCGGCACTATTGTGTGTGAGTGTGTTACGCATGATAAAACCACGGTTAGTTTTGTTCAGCTGTTGTATGTTTACATCTGTGAAGCACAAGAACAGTATTCTGCAGTGGATGGGGTAGGGGCAGCACACAGCTTTAGGCATGCTGCAGAATCATGTCAATTACAAATACAAAGTGAGAAATAAGTGATGGATTCTTGCTCATTGCTTTGAATGTCTTACTAATTGATCTATTCTTATATACTGTTTCCCTTGTTCAAATTTTTGATTAGTTATTTCTTTTACAATATTGACGGTTATTGGTTAACTATTAACAGTTATATATATTTATATTGTGTGTTTGTTTAGTCTTCTGGATATTGATCATACTGTAACTCAGCAAGTAGATTAAGAAAATATTTTTAGATATCTATGTGCTACTTTATACATGCACAGCATGTAATTTGAAAAAAAAGAACTCTAGTACTTGGAATTTAGTTAATCATCATAGAAAAAAAATTATTCAAAAACATGCTTTTGCTTTTCATAGCTTAAAAGTTTACCAAGCCTATCTACAGAATGATTTGTGAGAAAAACTTTGTTCTTCTTTCAGGAAAGTGGAATAAGTGAGAAAACGCTGTTGTCAAATGGTGTAAGTGTACATGGAATAAAGTCTCACTTTTTACGCAAACTTAACAATGGCAACAAAAAAAGCACACACTATTAGTGACAGAGAACGGACTGACGACATACATGTAGAGGAAAATGTGGATTTTGCAGGTATGTACTTATCTGACCATGTCTTAGAGGGACTGAAGAAATCCGGATTTATCAGGCCGAGTCCCATTCAACTCGCTGCTATTCCACTTGGTCGCTGTGGGCTTGACCTTGTGGTTCAGGCCAAGAGTGGAACAGGCAAGACATGTGTATTTACTGTTGTTGCATTGGAGATGCTCAGTGTTGCAGCCTCCACAACTCAAGTATTGGTCATAGCACCAACAAGGGAGATAGCAGTACAGATCACTCAAGTAATCAATTCTATAGGCAGTGGAACACCAGGGTTGAGGGCTTATGCCTTTATAGGTGGCATTCCTCTGTCACAGGATAAAGCAAAGCTCAGCTGTTGTCATATAGCTGTGGGCACACCAGGACGTTTAGCACAGCTGGTTGAACTTGGTCTCCTAAAGCTTGATAATGTTCGCTTGCTTGTCCTTGATGAAGCTGATCAGTTGTTGACAGGTCAGTTTACAAAAGGAGTGATCAGTCTAGCTTCAGCACTCCCTTTGAATAAGCAAATGTTAGCATTGAGTGCTACATACACAGATGAAGTTGCAAAGGTTGCAGAAGAGCTGATGCGTTCACCAAATCATGTTCGCCTCGGTCGAGATTGTCCTGCTCTTCTTGGTGTGAATCAATTTGCAAGGCTGCTTCCCTTCCATCATCAACCACACAGAATACAGCAAACCAAAATGTCTGAGCTGTTGTCAATATTATCAACAGTAACATTCAACCAGTGCCTTGTCTTTACTAATTCCCAGTTACGTGCTGAATCAATTTGTAATGAATTAAGAGCAACTGGATGGCCAGTATCATACCTGACAGGTGGACAAGCACAAAGAGATCGCTTACAGGCACTTGATGCACTCTGCTCCTACAAGTGTCGCGTCCTTATATCCACAGACCTCTCTGCCCGAGGTTTAGATTCAGAACACGTCAATCTAGTGATAAATCTTGACATGCCACGGGACCAGGCTACTTACTTACATCGTGTTGGACGAGCAGGACGCTTCGGTTCTCGAGGAGGTGCCATCACACTCGCTACTGAAGGGGATGATTGGACAGCTATGAGAGCTATCGTGACACTTGCCAATGTGAAAGCATATTTACTTCAAGAGGGCTGGGACTCCAATATCACAAGTAAAGAGGTAGAAGGTATGGAGGAAGTAGAGATGCTGGGGGATGAGGAACTGAATCTATGGCTGGAGGTAAACAAGAAAAAAGGCTTTCCGCAAGACCAAAAGGTTATGAAGAGTATACAAAATGGGAATGTAGGAGAGAGAATAACTGAGTCAGTAGGGAGAAAATCTAATTCAAAAGTAGAATTACATGATGAATCTGAAAAAGAAAATCTGAAGAATAAATCAGTAAGAAAAAAAGATCACAAGCAGAATAAGACACATGTAAAACAGGAAAGTAAAAGTGATAAACCAGGTGATCAGGGAAAGTGTGATGCAAAGAACACTAAAGAAACAATAAATGACAATATGTCATGTAAGAAAGAAAGTGATCCTCAAGAAGTAGCAAATAAAGCAATAGAAAAGAAGGCAGAAAACCAGAAAAAAGTTTCAGCCCTTCTCAGTAGAGTAAGCTCTTCCTTGCATAAGTTTTCATTTGCAGAGATTTACAAGGAATTATCAGAGAAAGGTGACACAGAAAGTGCTAGTATATCTTCAACAATTACTATTCCATCCTTGCCAGATAAGCTGAATCCATCTGAGTCAGAGCTGAAGGTTCTCTGTGACCACATAGAAGACACTAATGAGGACCTTGAAAACAAAATTACAAGTATAGATAAATTCTGGAAGTCCTCAAGAGTTGATATAAAAGAAGCACTTCAAGCTTTGATTGAAGGCAAAGATCCAAGTTCCCTACCTCACAACAATGATTATAAGGAATCTTGCAGTGATTTGACTGATCATGTAAGTCTTTTAGAAGCAGATGAAAAGGGATTATCCCAAGAAACAGCTCTACCAACACATGAATTTAATGGCATTACACATAAGAATACTTCTGATCGTGCAGACAAAGTAACAGAGAGTTCTTTGTCAGAGAGGGAGAGTAAAGTCAACACAGATTCTGGCAGTGGGTTATATCAGTCTTCCAAGAGCACAACTCAGTCTACCTCAGAACTGTGTTCCTCAAAGAAGACCAGTAACTCAGGAGGAAGCAAAGTAAAAGTACTCAAATCTCAAGAAATAAAGCAAAAGGTCAAGAAGTCAAGGTCACACCATAAACAGTCCCAAGAAGATATAGAAATGAGAAGAGAACCCAAGTCTAAAAAGGTACAAAAGAAGCTAAAAAAGCGGTCCACATCTACTAGCACAGATACTTCTTTTGAGAGTAGCTCAAGCACTGATTGTCATTACCAGCAAAATTATAATGGATTTTATGATAGTCAACAACAACAAAGAGATTATTGGAGCCAGATGCATAGTATGTACAGTGCAGGCTATCAACAATATCCACAGGCAGATTATCCTTCATATGGAGGAGCTTACCAGAATTTCCAACCATCAGGAGGAGGAGAAGGAGGAGTTCAATGGAGCCAACAGCAACAGAACTATTCTACAGGTTATCCTTATGAATGGGACTACTACACTATGAGTGCATACAGTTATAAGAGAGCTTACATTGAGAGTGCTCAAAAGTTTGCCTCAATGATGGATTATGTTCAAAGCATGGGACGAATGAGTGCATGGATAGCCCGTGACTATCATTCACGCTGTAGTCAAAATAGTTATGAATATGATAAATGCTCTAAGAAAAACACTAGTAAGCAAAGTTAGTGATAATAGACAAAACAATATCATGAATGTACATAGATTTATTAATACACAATCTCTAGTGAAATTTTAGTTTTAAGTGATGAAATGTAATTATCATTTTCTATATTTTTGTATTTAAGAATAATTTGGAAAGTAAAACTTAATTTTGGACAAGATTTGCACAGAATTATAAGTTGTGAATATCATAAAATGTCTAAAAGACTGAGAAAACTTTCAAATCACCATACCAAAGTGATGCGTACAGATGTATCCCTTGCAACAAGTGATCCAACTGTTAGCCCATACTTCACAAGTTCAAATGATGCTGATGGTGATGAAAGCAGCTCTAGCACAACAGGAGAAGGCAGAGATCAGAGCACTGCAGATAGTGTGTGTAACTTGGATCCTGATGAAACTACAAGTAAAAACAACCAGCCTTCTCTCCAGCAGTCACAAGTAGCAGCCTCATCTGTGTTGCCTGGGAGAAGGTTAACATACAGTTTTTACAATCAGGAATGTGTGACCCTTGCTAAAGCATTATTAGGTAGGTGGATTTTTTTTTTTTTTTTTTTACTAAATATATCTGGTACCCAGCGGTCATAATTTTAGAGTGGCTTGATTCATGCTTGGATAATCTCATTTGAAATGAGTTTCAATATATGTGATTTGATTGAATATAGGTGAGTTCAAATTAACATGGATTATATTATCATTTTACTATTATATGTATATGAAAATTAATATCTAAAGCTTTTTGAATTTTACAGGTCAAGTTATGGTGAGACTGATCGATGGTGTTCGTGTATCTGGAGTCATCGTGGAGACAGAAAGTTACCTTGGAGGAGAAGACGTGGCATCTCACAGTCATAACAACAAGAGGACTCCCAGGAATGAGCCCATGTACATGAAGCCGGGTACATCCTATGTTTACCCGATATATGGGATGTACTTCTGCTTTAATGTATCCTCTCAAGGTAATATTTAGGGAGCAGGTGGTTGAAAGTACACAATTAAGTATTAAAAGATAGCAAAAATAAAACACATTTTCATTTATATTTACAAATTTCCATAAAACATAATAATTCTTTAAACACAACTGAAGGCAAGGTCAACATGTTAATTGTTGATTTCTAATGATCATTTGGGAGTTTAAAGTTTATTGTTTCAGAAATGTAGAATTGAGTATTTAACATTTTTTTCTTCTGCTTTCATGTCAAATGCATATATTTTATTAGGTAAAAACATTCAATAAAAACTCCTTTACATGTAGGTAAAATATTTACAATATGAGATTTGTAGAGCCTTTAAATAGCTATGTAATGATACCAAATTGAATTGAAATTGATATTAAAGGCATTGTTAAGGGTTGATACATTCAATTTTGATTTTGTATACAGCGCTTTATAGATGTGCGAAGTTAGAATACAGAGTGCAGATGGCACCCTCTGCCTTTTAATTATTTAGTAACTTTCTTTAGGTATTTGATTACAACTCTTATTATTTTCTTTTCAAAATTTATGTAAATGCCTTTTGTCAGAATTGCAAATAAGAAGAGATATAAGATGACACAGCTTGCATCTTTATAACCCAAGTGCACTTGCAATATTTATTAACTGTTGTGTTCTTGCTTTTCACCATTATGTTATTAATGATGGTTTAACCCCTTGGTGCCGGGTGACGCCGATCGGCGTGTAAACAAAGAGCTCGAAAGCTGGCGTGCAGCCAAATGAGCCGGCGGCACGCCAAAGCGTGGCGAGCCAGTGATTCGGGCTGATGTCCCCTACTCGCGCTCAAAGTCGGCGCGCCGCCTTTGTTTGTTTAAGCGTAGAGTTTTTTTTTCTTTTGTACACCCAGCGCCATTGGGTTAATACAATTTCTTTCCTAAGTATAAATGCAGTGGCATAATGACTCTTGATTTAAGTGGGAGGGAGTGAGAGGGAGGGAGGGAGTGAGAGGGAGGGAGAGGGAGGGAGGGAGGGAGTGAGAGAGAGGGAGGGAGGGAGTGAGAGGGAGGGAGGGAGTGAGAGGGAGGGAGGGAGTGAGTGAGAGGGAGGGAGGGAGTGAGAGGGAGGGAGTGAGAGGGAGGGAGGGAGTGAGTGAGAGGGAGGGAGGCAGTGAGAGGGAGGGAGGGAATGAGAAGGAGAGAGAGAGTGAGAGAGAGAGAGAGAGTGAGTGAGTGAGTGAGTGAGTGAGAGTGAGAGTGAAAGAAAGAGAGAGAGAAAGAGAGAGGGAGAGAGAGGGGGGATAGGTAGGTAGGTAGGTAGGTCAAGGATAAAGAATGGTAAGAGAACCATATGTAAAAGCTCATGGGCTAGAAAGAAAGGTTCCCTAACTGCAAAAGAATAGATTTGAGGATGAGCAGACTTATGAGAATATAAATCAGGCAAGCAATTGAAATAATACTTTAATACTAATGATACTAAATATGATAACACCATGCATATGATTCATCACCCAATATAGATAAAATAGTAATTAAAGACAAAATTGTAATTAAATTACTGATAATACCAATTTTGTCATGGAACTTTCCGATGATATTGCCAGCATGTCAAACTTTCGCATTTTCAGCCATAGATTATGGTAACAAAAAAGAATTTTTTTTTTTCTCCCTCTCTCTCATCTTCTTTTTCTTTTTCTTTTCTTTTCTTCTTCTTCTTTTTCTCTCTTTCTTTCTTTATTTATTTCTTTGTTTCTTTCCATTGAACATGGATTTTATGATTACATGGCATGTCCACTGCAATATTAATCCTTTGGCTCTGGATGCTTCACTGTCATCACATGGCCCAAAATACGGGCATTGGGTTTACTTGAGAGGCCAATCTGGCAGGTGTGTGGCTTGTAGGCTGGGTCCATGGGAACGCTTTTGTGTTGTGACAGGACTTTGTTCCTCCTTTTTGCTGTACTATATTCTCTTCTTTTCTTTCTTTCTTTCTTTCCATTTTCCAGTGTCTATATTTGTAATCTGATTTGCTTTATCCAAATGAAAATAGATTGTTTTCCTTGCATAGACTCTATATCATCTCTCTAGGTAGTCCATAACAGCAAGTTGGCATCATCTCAGCAGTAACAGCATTAGAAAAAAAAAAAACCCGCAAATTTAAGGAATGGGGAAATCAAGTGCAGTAACTAGGGCCTAATTGACTCTGCTGTGGCTGAGCACTTGTGGAGCCATCTGTGTGAAGTATAATTCACAAAAGACTACGGTGGATAGTACATAACCTTGTGTCCATTGGGTTAACCTGTCTTAACAGTTAAACGTGAATTTACCTTTTCATGTTATTAAATTGCATGGGAAATGGTGACTTAGTGCCATAGCATTTTTGAAACGTTATTTTCATTTTTTTTTTTTTTTTCTACTTATTCCTCTAACTTTGAGAAACATTCTACATGTTCATTTGAGATCAGTATTGGATAAATTGATTCATGAACTAAATTCTGTCATTCTGGCCACCAAGGGGATGGATCCTGCGTGCTGGTCCGGGCATTGGAACCTTTAGAAGGAATGGCAATTATGGCAGTTGGGAGGAACCAGAGGCGAAAGAACACAACTCCTCTAAAAACACATCAGCTCTGTAATGGCCCCTCTAAACTTTGCCAGGCACTAGACATGACAAAGGTTAGGAAATAGTCTCCAGTGTGATATAGTATGAATTAAAATTAGTATCTTTGTATTTATAGGGATTATTACAAATTTTAGCATTCATTTGTATCACTAGCATTGAGTATAAACCCTGAAAATTAGGTGATGTTTGTGTTATTGTCTCCTTTTTTAATTTCCAGGATTCCTGTAATAAGTTGGATCTCTCAACATCTAATGTTCTTTGGCTAGAGGCAGGCACATCCATTCCTGAGAGTCAGGTGGTTATTGGAAAAAGGATTGGCATTGAATCAGCTGGTGAAGAATGGGCCAATAAACCCCTTCGTTTCTACGTTGCAGATAATAAGTCTGTCAGCGTCTTTGAAAAGAAAAAAGCAAAGCAGTCAACAGCTTCATAAATTCATTTGACATGCTGTAGAATATTTGTCTTGTTATTATTTTGGTTGATAATGAATTTTTATTCTGATATTTTCTATGCTTTTTATATATATCCTCAGAAGTCATACAGACATGTTATGATTTTCCAGTAATACAGCTATATATAAAGGTATGAATGTCCAAAGGGATTCTCGGACCTAATGCCTTTTCGTTTTTTTTTTTTTTTTTTCTTCTTCTTCTTCCTCTTCTTTTTTTTTTTTTTTTTTTTTTCTTTCTTTTTCTTTTTTTTTTTCTTTTTTCTTTCTTTCTTTTTCTTTTTCTTTTTCTTTTCTTTTCTTTTTTTTCCCCTCATTTTTTCATTTTCATCTGTAGCATAAGCATCAAGATATTCATATTAATGCAATATAATCATGAGATAGCTTTAATGTGGATATATTGATGTCAGTGTTATAGATATTTTAATTACCAAAACCTTCAATAAATGTATTTTCAGGCAAGAATACCTTTGGACACACGCTCCCTCATATTGTTATAATTCTTATTTCTATATATCCATGTTTGGATTTTGATTTAGCATGTTACCTTTAATAATTAAAGGAAATAATCTATAAAGAATATAACTTACCATATGTTTATGTTCCGTTTTAAAAACTGCCTGCAAGATCACAAACCCACTTTGTAAATCATTTTATTTACTTATAAATTTTCTCTATACCAAAAAAAGAATATTTGACAGTTTTAGGCACATTTGTAGCTGGGATGCCCTTGTCCTGTTATTTAAGCTTTGTTTCTTACTATTCATAATCCTGTTACACAAGGAAAATGATATGTGAATGACCACTTTACCAGCTTTTTATAGAACTAGAAAAACTATCACCTAATTGTAGTGGTTATCATTAAGTGCATACAGAACACTTCATAAACTTATTTTAGAATTTGATATTTGTCTTCTTTTCTCTTCATACCTTTTATTATCCTAAGAAAATAGGAACAAGTTTTTCTCTTTATTAATATGCTAAACATCTATAAGAATCTGAAATACTTTGCTATGGCATAAAAAATTATATAAGAGGTATAGATTTTCATTTCAACAATTACCAATACAGTTTAAAGTGCTTTGTTTATCAGTAGATCAGATTTTTTGTCATTTTTCTTGATTTTTTAACTGTAAGAGTAAGAAATATGATAAATGAAGAGATAAAAATTATGAAAAAAGTATACATACCATAAGAAGGCTAGAAAAAATATCAGTTAAAATTCCAAGGGAAACTAGTGGTAGTTACAGTAAGTTTTCCATTGATTTATAAGAGAATAGCTTACTGTTCTTTGGATATATAATGCTCCTAGCTTACTGAAAAATCCTACTTATTGAAGAGTAAACAACTGGCAAACTAGCATGCCTCTTATTTCTGAAGAATTTTGAACAAATTCTGTAACATTGCTATGCATCTCTAGTCTATAAATGCACAAGGCCAGTAAAACTGCATTGTAATAAAAATAAAAAGAACATTTGCTATTTTTTCACAATTAGATGTGCATTCTTATTTTATTTAAAACCAGGTCTTTAAATATAATAATTATTACTCTCATGTGCCGCTAGAGTGATGGTTTCAGCAGATTTAAATACTGTGTAGTTTTTCTTTTTATTCTCAGGTCATAGTCTCAAAACACAATTTGATTTATAAATATTTAATAAAATAAATACTACAGAAAAATTAAATGTTTATTTAAATGCAAATGCAATACTGGCAAGATACAGTCACACACTTATGTATTTCAACCCATCAGACTTCAGTGTATCTCTTCTCTTTCTAGAAAAATATTTATCTATTATTGAGTGTGCTAGGAGAACCTACTCAGTGATTCTCAAGGAAAGTTTGAAATTTAATGTCTTTCCACTATCTCTATATTTGCCATGTGTAAATAAAAATATTCCTATCTGATATACAGAAAAATGGCATTAATACATCAATACAAATGAAAAAAAAATACATCAATACAACTGAAAAGAAAAAAAGTCAAAACTGTTTATAAATCCTAAATAAAATAACAAAAATATATTTCTTTGTAGTCCAATCATACAGAATTATGTATTTCTTTACAACAAAATGGATACTCTACGATTAAATCTATGCCTTCATTCAAATCCTTCACAACCATTAAAGTATAAAGTCATTCTTGAACACATTTTATATGTTTATAGTCTGAGGCACTGATACCATATAATTTAGATTCAAAATATGGTATATACTGAATTGTATTAAAGAATAAATAAACATAGTAGCCATGGCACTAATCTTGAACTCTTCTGAAACTACTACATACAATGATAGACAGAAATTTGAAATGATATAAATATCTGCTACTTAAATGAAGACCAACCAAACAAATCGACCACATGGCAACTCTCCTCATTTTTCCATCCACTCACCTCACCACTGACTTGGTTAGTGATTAAGATGTAATGATTAAAGTTTACAATGATTTCTCTGACCCTGGTTCCTCTGGAGCTGCATTGTGCCACTGATAGCAATGAGTTCTAGAGTTGCCTTTGGTAAGTACTCTGAAAGAAGTTCATGTAGTTTTCATGTAGTTAGATGCCATTCACACATACAGTATCTATCAAATGATGGGTACTGTAGATATTAATGAGCTGTCATTAAATTCTCTAAGAGCTATTAAGATATATGGTTAAAAGTAAAGTTTAGAGGACACACCTTTTTTGGCTCTATTGGCAAAGCCTTAACCCAACTGCCCCAGATTTATGTTCTGTTCCCTGTATTTTTTTGTGAATGTTGTTACATACAGATGGCTCCACATGTGCTCAGCCAGCAGGGAGTCTATAAGTAGTCCTAGTAACCAATTCTGATTTGCCCAGTCCTTGAATTGGCGGGAAAATGTATTTTCTTTTTAATACAGTTGACATTGATACTGCTGTTATTGTTATTGATGTTATGATTCTCAAATTGTTATTAAAATCTCAATAACATTTAAGACAATGAAATAATGCAAAAGATCCTTTCCAAAAGTCGAGGAAAAGGGTAAACAGGTGAGATAGGTAGGACTAATAACCGACTCCTTGGTGACTAAGCACTTGAAGAGCCATCTATGTGTAAATACAATATATAAACTTGTATTGCATTGGGCATGGCATGTATTCTTGCTATATTTTTGCAATTAGGTTAAACAGGGATATGGTACTACCATTCAAAAGATAGTGTATCCATAACTGACTTGTTTTACTGATATGTCAAAGTTGGGAGACTACTACAACTTGCAGATGAGTCATACACCTGACTACACGTGAAAGACATTCATAGAACAATGATGCCAACAGACGTCCACATTCCAGCCACACCATAATCAATCTGATTTTCTTACAGAATAATAAGTAAATTTCAAAGTACAGCTTTTACAGATCAATAATATACACTTTGGACGGTAAGCACAGTACAGTTCTATTAATAAAGATCATGAACTCTTTATTACCATGTAATATTTATAAGCAAAAAATTAATACATACTCAAGTATAGGCAAAATGACTTCTTTGGAAGAATATCAACACCTGACTCTCTAAAACCTTAATCACTGATTATGACTAGATAAATGCATTGTAATTGTACACAACAGAAACTTCAGTTTACTACTTTTATTCATAATTCTTTACTTTTCTTTCTTTGAAGGGAATTGAACCCATGTTGACACAACCTGGTTCTGGTAAACCCAGTCCTTAATTAGACTGATAACATATGCCAAGATCACTAAGACAGAAAAATATTGTATCCATGCCCATTTAAGCACATACCAAAACCCAGGAATATACAAAACAGTTTGCTCTGGGTACTGCACAACCAGATTTATGGTAAATGAATCACTCTGTCCTGTCTGCCAGCTGGTGTATGTGTTGGTATATTTGGTAGTAACTGAAAATAGTTATTAGTGTTATAAATTGAAGTACAATAATTATAGCATATATTCCATTATTACACAGCTTTTGCATCACAAAACATCAGCATATCATCAATACCTTTTCTACTCTCTTAAAAGAAAGTTAAGACTAGGAACCCATGACTAATTTTTACTTAATAATACATAAGGCAACAGTAAATTAATAGGCAAAACATAAATATGAATGAATGATGCAAAATACATTTTTTTATGATCCCACCAAAGTACCTCAGTTATTTACAATTATCTGATTATAAACATTAACGTAAGTGAAATCTTACTTACTATTTCTTTTCCAATAACTAGAGAGAATTTCCTGTAATCTCCAGCTTCTTGTGTCAGAGACAGATGATGGCAGTACGGATGTGTTATATAAATCATGTATGCCAGATGGAGGAAGAGGCTGACGTTGGTGAAGGGATAGATCAGTTGTGACATGAAGGGCTGACACAGGAACTCCACTAGCATGCTGAAACAGTCCTGCACCCTCCATTATCAGCTCACACATGTGCTGTGGAAAAAAGAAAACTAATTATATTACAGAAAGGCAAACCCAAAGAGAGCTAACACTCCAAAGAACACAAGTGGGAAAAGAATTATTTTCCTTTTCTTATTTACTTCAAGTAGAATTAATATGAGTATGAAGTTACACACCAAAGCTTTATTTGCTACAAATGTTGAAGACCTACAGGCTTTGTTACAATATTTTAAACTATATTAAGATATTTGTGAAATAATATTTATGTGCATCACATAACATAACAAAAACGGCATCAGCACAAGACTCTATATTCATTTGCAAAGATATGCTACAATAATTACATGTAGTCTGTAGTCAAAGGTCAGCAACAGTGTGGTGCCATATACCAACTCATTGCTCAGTAAAGGAATATTCAAGCTGAAGACAAGCCTATCATTCACACCATCATGGTTTTCATCCTCTTCATATGACTGAAAGAAAATAAAAAAGAAATTAATATTCATACAAAGTTAACTGCCAAATGTTCATCATTTTCTAAGCCCCTCAGCCTTTCTTTGTGAGGATGAGCTTGAAAATGAGTTTTCTGTCTACAAATAATTCTCTTAATTGTTAAAAGAAAAAGATAAAAAACAGACACCTCTACATAATCCTGTTTAATGGTTATTCACTTCAAGAAAAATACAAACAAATGGACATATTTAGTTAAGAAAGAAAAGTAATGTGAGTATCTAATCAATAAAGAGAAAAACTCTTTTCTGTTAAAACTAATAAGGAATGTTTTAAGATATTATACATGGAAGAATTCTGCATACTTTGTAATTACAACTGCTTGAAATTGCCTTTGTAACTAGTGTCTATCTCACATTCCAGTGGCATTACATACAAAAAATCCAAAACAATGTACCATATACAGGAGAATCCAAAACAGCTACTTATGGAAATATGGCATGGGACTTCATTTTTTCAATTAGTTTTCATAGTGATATAAATTACCTGTTAATAGCATTATCCTCTTTGAAACACCTTATATACTCATTCCTAATATACTTCAAAATACCATATACTACAATTCACTACGTGTGTATTGTAGTACATGGTGAACTGTAGTTCAGAAAAAAAAAAAATTGCTGTTCAAAATAATCAATATTCTCACCTTTACTAGTGGAATGCGTAAGTACTTTCTCATGAGATTATTGAATGAGGGCTGGGTGGACCACACAAGAGGGCCTGAAGCTGTGTCACTCACAATGAGGACTTGGTGCTTAAAGTGAACATCTGCCTGTTCTCTATATTCTGCATGTTTTATCCACAAGCCTGTAGAATAGATGGAAGATACTCTAGATGCTCATAAAGAACTAATCAATCTAAATTCTAAATAAAAGTACAGCTAGGTGTAGTAATGCTTTGACAGTGGGAGTATTATTGAAGAATAAGAATGTGTTATATGTGCTTAGCTGAGTTCAGGCTATCCTGACCTCTCTGTTAGTATTTGAGAAATAACATCTAAAGCTCCCAGGCCAAGCAATCACTACCACTGTGCAATTATTAGGCTAGGGAACCATGCAATTTGTATTAGTGAATGTGTGAATGCATGTACTAGAAGTGGGGAAGGAATAGACAGACTTGTGTGTGTGTGTGTGGTCAAAAAAGTATTGGGATCTATCTAGATCTAGAGCTGATCTGTAACTGTACTTATTCTTATAATAGTTATTATCTGATAATTTTGTCATTTCAAGATACTATGATCTCATTCAGTTTATACTAATGAAAAAAAAAGATTATCAACAATAAAACCATATTTTTTCATTTTCACAGATAAAAACATGAAAAATACTAATACTTGGAATAACAAAATTTGCTACAAAGTAAAAAATATGAGACTATATGCATATATCTCAAGTCTATCTATAGGTATCTATATATCTCTTTATAAGAGAAAGCAGTCACACTATTTGGCCAAATTGATTTTACACACTATTGCTATTTCTCCTTTGATCTTTATGATAATTATTCCAGCTATTATATTTACAGTTCTCTAGACATTTACATAAACAAAGATCAAAGAGTTCAATCAAGTGAAGATATGTTAAATGGTGTCCAAAGTAATCCAAGGTAATCAAGCTCTTAAAACCAACCGGAAGTCTGTTCAAATGGCTGTACTGTATGAGACTCATCCATTTTGAGGTTCAAAAAATTCTAAGCCTGCCTTTATATTTTGCAGGATGTCAACTTAGCGCTCAGGTTATGGTTTTGATGTGAGTCCTTTAGTTCAACCCTTTGTATTTTTGGAAACTTGTTAATGCAATAGCAACTGTATTGTTTTCTTGAATATAAATATGTAATTTACTCTTTCCTATTAAAATAAGATTTTTTTTTTAAATATAGAGGGAATCCTAGACAAATTATCATAATATGTTTCTGATTTATATGAATGATTTCCTGAATTTCAAAAGTCGTAAACTTAAATGTTATTACTTGGTCCAAAGGAAGATGAATCTATTACCTCAAGAAGATGGGCGTAAGACATGTAGATGCTATTAAGCCTCTTTAAAGTAACTTAAACCATTTAAATCAACCACAATTTAGGATGAAACTGATCCATTACCCAAATTGTTTTAATTCATATTCCTTTATTTACTATATATTAGCCGAAATGTCACTGTATCCATTCCTGCCTCAAATGAATCTTGCGATGCCATGAAAAGATATGACAAGTATGCATTTTCTCTCTTGGCTATTTTGGCATATAGATTTAACAGTCTGAGAGTTATTGCGTGATCGAAACGTCTTGAGACCTAATACATGTAATATAAGCACAAATGACAACTAAATGACATATTCATCTGCATCGGCAAAGAAAACCCCTATCTCTAATTTGCATAACTCAAGTTGCAACTCACCCTGGCTGCGATACACAATCAAGAACGGCGAAATAATTGTTAACAAGACGCACAGAATTAAGAACAACGTAGCTTTCGAACATACACTGGTCTTATGCACAACGACCAGTGGACGCCTATAAACATCGTACAGCACCATTGCCGTCTGCAGCGGAATTCGTATTAGGTTTGTTTACATTTCCGTCACGTTCGAAAATAAATGTAATTTGACAATCGGTGAAATATATAATTGTTTGGTTTATTGTATCCCAAAGAAGCAATTAAAATTCACTGTACCAAAGACGTCAAGATTTATTCATAGATAATGTAATGTCCAAGAAATAAAATATTTTTCTTGCAAATATGGCGGCAGAATTTGATTTATTAGAGAGGGAGCGGGGAGAGAGGGAGTGAGGAGGGAGGGGAGAGAGGGAAAGAGAGAGAAAGAGAGAGAAAGAGAGAGAAAGGAAGAGAAAGAGAGAGAGAGAGAGAGAGAGAGAGAGAGAGAGAGAGAGAGAGAGACAGACAGACAGACAGACAGACAGACAGACAGACAGACAGACAGACAGACAGACACAGACAGACAGACAGACAGACAGACAGACAGACAGACAGACAGACAGACAGACAGACAGACAGACAGACCAGACAGAGACAGAGAAATAGGCAAACAGACAGACACAAAAAGTGAGAGACCGACCCATAAAGAAGACAGACAGACAGACAGACCAGACATTGACAGAGAAACAGGCAAACAGACAGACACAAAAAGTGAGAGACCGACCCATAAAGAAAGAGGCCCAGGAAATAAGAAAGATGCCCAGTAAGAGAGAAAGAGATAGAATGTATGTAGCAATAGAAAGTAAGGAGGGAAAAGTAGGAATTATTTCCGCAGTTTGACCTAATGAAAAAGTACCAGAATATTTAAAAATAAAACTAGAGAAAAAATGTTGAGTTTTTCCATGAATGATGTAAAGGTTTTTGCATACATGCATAACAGGGAGGACATATTGAAAAGTGATACAACGGCAAGCATACCGTGACTGGAGGCTATGAGAAGCTTTGGATTTAGTGGTTCCACGCCATAATGAAGTAGGGATTGTTGCAGTTTTAGAAATAAGCATCTAGTTCCTGTACAAAGGAGAGAGATGGATTACATAAACCTGCATGACGATGGAACCAGAATACTTTTCAACTTCTGAAGTTATCCCTGGAAAAGAACTACAATCGTGCACAGTGAAAAATAAAAATGTAGGGTACGATAAAAACTGCGTTCGAAACTAGGCACGATCTTTAGAGAGGCAAATAGGGGGAAGTGAAAGACTTGAAGGTAATTAATTGAATGACTGCAGTATCAAGACCCACCAAGATCTCAAGGTGAGGCATTACTTCGAAATCTTGAAACCAGTGAGAAAGAAGCATGGCATGAAAAAGTTGATGAAAGTTGTGAACAATGTAAGATATAAAGGATGAGTTTTAAAAAAATGGAGATGATTAGGTGTTTTGAAGGAAAGGTGGACAGAGTAAATAATAGCGCATCTTTCCTTGGTTTACAAGGAGGGAATATAAGTCCTTCAACTAATTAGGATAATGTTAGAAAAGAATGGAATATGATTTTGTCTTAGACTAAAGTTAATCAAACATAACGATAGGTTATATCTGGTAGAAAACGGATTGAGTTAGCAGCATCGGAGAAGAGAAAAGACAGATAATAAGGAAAAACTGGAGTTTAACACATTATTTAAGGTAACTTGAACGAATAAAAGACAAAGATTTTTTATTAATAAAAGAGGCGATCCGCAGTATTAATGTGGATCAGTGAATATGTGAGACGATTTTCAATTTGTGCATATCGATAGCATTAGTTGCGTGACCACAGGAAGGGGACATGGATTGCATTAATCAAAATATGGTCATATTTTCTTAAAATCAAGAGTGGAGGACTGACAAGGAATATCAGAAATTTCGTTAAATAAGTTATTTTTTCAAATACAGACCTGATTGCGGGGCTTCTATATCGGTCCCTAAAGTAACTTTTCATTTGTCCTTTCTACAAGTTTCTTATACCTTATCAATTATCCTATTAAAAATAAATATCCCCAGCCAGTGAATTTCGGCAGAGTATAAGCAATTATCGTCTACGTAGTTATCAAAACGTTTCTCAACTATCATAGTTTACCTTGAACAAATGAACGTTTTCTGTGTGTGTGTTCCAGTAATTAGAAAGTTGAATTATTATGATATTTACCTTCATACTGATATGTGTCTTGTTTCATTATTTATTTATTGTTGTAGTACAAACGCATCACAAAGTTATCTATTTATCCTATGTAAAATCACTGTTTTGCCGACAATGCATGCAAGGAAATAAATCATATTTTTACATGATTCTCACAGAATGCTTAACCTATATAAAAGCAAGAAAATTCTAAGAGGCATACATTAAGAATAAATAATTGAAAACAGAGGCCAGAATATAGATACAGTAACAAATACAAGCCATTGTTTATACCTTTTATAAGAGTGTACTCTCGCCCCAGGGATTCACGTAGTCGAGCTCGGACAGACCGACGTTCCTCATCTCTCTTCGCCGCCACACCGTAAACATGAAGGCGTCAGGCACGGTATGTTTCTCGATGTTGACGCCGATTATAGTCTTCTCTGGTGATTTTGAGTCGCTCTGACGATGGATGAGAGGATTATAATACGTATGTGTAGTGCTTTTGTAGGGGTTTGTGAAATATAAAGGAGAAAAACTTAGTTTTGAAAAGAGAGATGAGTGTTCGGTGGTATTACGAGTAACGTGTTCGGAAGTGTTTTGATATTTGATTTCATGGATTATATGAAGATGGTTATGCTGCTATTAGTGTGCGGATATACAATTGGAAACATTAAGTTCCCATTTCGTATGAATTTTAAGGACGGATGATAATTGGACTAATGGATATTTACTGATGAAAACTGGGATCGTTCGGTAAATGTGAGATTCCATGGAGGTCGGAACCATCCGTTTCAGATTATAGGTTGTATGTACACTTCAGGTGGTGTGCAGCTAAATAGCAAAGTTATTTAGAAATGAATTGTGCGATCATGATGGGCAAATATGATTTAAAGATTTCATGAAAACATGTTGAAAATGTCTTCCAGGCTGGCACTCGAAATTTTTCTCTTGAGTATCCTTAACCCAGTGTCGGCGGGCATGGCTTCTACATACATGCCATGCCCACTGTGTTTACTTTAAATTTTTACAAATAGATTGCTACACATGTTCTAAGTCGCCAATGAGCCAATTATAAAAATTGCCAGTCTCGCCTGTTTTCCCTTTTCCTAGAATTATAGTTTTAAGTTATCCTATTTTGTTACTGTTTTTAATAACATTATGGCAATAATATATATTTTCAAAATAACTCCATTGATGTTCGTAGCATTTTTAAATATTTTTCATGACCAAAGAAATTCTAGTAGAGCCATCTATGTGCAGACACATTTCACAAAAATATATAAAATGAGCACAGTATTATCTCTGGCGGCATGTGGATAATCGGTCAATGTCGTTTAAAGTAGTGGCAGAGTTGGGTAATAAAACCTACATGAAATGATAGAATAATACAAACCAACTCTGCCACTACTTTATACTACATATTGTCCTGATAATCTATAAGGACAAACTAGTTTGACTCTAGGAACTGTTGAGGTTTCAGATACTTGTATATATGTACTACTTATTTGGTTATTAATACTGCTATTTATACAAAGTTCTGATCATGAAATAAACCAGGAAAGTTAGATTGTTCATATGCTTTGTAATGGAATGCTTATTCTATATGGTGGAAACCAGTGCATGAAAGTCTAAAATGTAAATGCACTTGCATAAATTGCTTGTAATCATTTAGGAATTATGCCCCAACAGATTTGTCATGGTTTGTGGCTTGGGAAATATGCCGATAGGCATGAAAACAAACCGTTCGAAATGTGATGAGCGGCTGTACACCGCAGTGGTGATTCGGCCTGATTTACCGAATTCCCGCACTCTAAGTCGCCGTGCTGCCATTAACCCCTTGGTGCCGGGTGACGCCGATTGGCGTGTAAACAAATCGCTCAAAAGCTGGCGTGCAGCGAAACGAGCCGGCGGCGCGCCAAAGCGCGGCAAGCCAGTGATTCGGGCTGATGTCCCCTACTCACACGCCGCCTTTGTTTGCTTAAGTGTAGTTTT